ATACAGCTATTTGGCAAAAAACATTTAAAGGAATGTTTATGGCAGCATTATTCATAATCACCCGGACCTAGAAACAGTACAAATGTCCATCAACAATACAATGATAAATACTCTATAGTATTTTTATACAATGGAATACTGTATAGCAATGAAAATTAATGAACCACACATGGTCCTGGAGCCCATGGTCTTAAGCAGTACATTATTCTACTTCTCCAGCATATTACGGTGATGCAAAAGTAATGGCAAAAATTCCTTTGTATCAACCAATAGAAAAAGAGATACTCCATATGCTGTTATGTCTAAAATAGTGGTCTTTTATGGAACCAAGATACAAAATATTTTATTTACCACTCTATCCTTGTTTCATTTTTAAGTTGTGCTAAGAAGGAAGGCAAATCAGATTAAGATGACATATTTACTATTTTAACTTATAATTCAGTAATATAATAAATTGCTGTTCCTGCTGCCCTACATACAAGTGAATGTATACAAAAGATTTATCACTAACCACAAGGGATATTTCTCCCTAAAGATCAGAAGATTTTTCTCCCTACCCAAAAATCTATCTAAAGACGGGGTAAATTCTGGGGAAAAAAAAAAGTTTCCCTGATAATTGGCAACATCATTTTCCAGCTCACGCAACCTGAAAGCCTTAGTTATTTTTTTAGAGAAATGACGGTACAATGGTAACTGCAATGACTCTGGAGCTTGACAAAATGGGCCCAAATATCAGCCATGGTACGTTTTACTTAGGTGGGCTGGGATAATTTGCTGAAATGACGCTTTTGTCAGTTTCCTCTTGCACAAAATGGAGATGACATTGGTCATTAACATTTGAAACAAGCCTGGTACTTAGTAAATCCTGCATAAGCATTAATTATTATACACCTGAACCTACTTCCTTCCAAATAAATGTCACAAGCTCCAACACCTCCCAGTCCAACCCCACTGCCTTGACCTCAGGTCTTGCCCTCATCCTTTCATTCTCATCCCTCTCCAAATGCTTAAAAGTTGATCTTTTTGCAACAAGTCTTCCAACTGCAATCCATTTTGAAGATATTGCCAGAACAGCATTTAAAAATACCTTTCTGTTCACAGGATTAGCCCTCACAAAATATTATCTTTCTTTTTTTTAATTACCTACCAATTAAATTCAAATTTCTTGATGGGTTATCAGTATTTCCCACAATCTGTCACCAGCCTTATTTTCCACTGTTATCTGTTTTAGTCCAACATAAGAAACTTATTCTGGTGCCAAGCTAATTAATTTGTCTTTCATTGAGTGTACAGTATGCCTCTTCACTTCTAAATGTTAGTATGCCATTTTCTTGACTGTTCAGTTAACATTTTCCACCTGCATCAAGATCTAGCCCAAATGCAATCTCCATGAAAACTTGGACAAATATTGTTCAGAATTATATCTCCTTTCTGAGGTCTCCCATAATGGATTGTTTTTTCATTCATCTGTACATTGTATTATTTCTCAAATTATTTAAAATGGCTTTGAAATTTTATTAGTTTATCCTATTCTCATGATGTAACTTACCATAGCCTCTGCTTTATTTAAATGAGAGTATACATTATTTCCTCAAACTAAAAACAAAAATTCCTTGAGAGTTTTTTTTTTTTGTCTTTCTCTCCCACTTGCTCTAATCCTTACTAACACAGTGCCTCTCACATTTAGGAGCATGAAATATTAATTGAACCAAATAAAATTAAATTACTAAACAAAATCACTAGCTTGGTCTTGCAGAGGTCAAATCTAGAAATGGAGACTTATCCCTTCATTCTCATCCCTCTGTAAATTCTTGAATCTCAAAACCAAAAGTAGTGTGTGAGCATGAAAGATCT